TGTGTCTCAGTGAAGCTATCAGTAATGCTTGAGGGAAAAAAAAGGAGAAAACCAAAAAAATGCCAGGGATTTAGCTCAGCTACATAAGCACCTACCTGGCAAGCGTTAGGTCATGAGTTCTACCCCCAGAACAACTACAACAACAAAAAAAGTGGAAAGCAATGCTTGGGGATGGAGATTCATGACAGTTAATAAAGTATTAGTCAGCTTTCTGACACTATAACAAAATACCAGAAATTACAAATTTATATAGAAGAAAGAGTATTTTGGTTCACAATTTCAGAGGTTTCTGTTCATGGCCTCTTAGCCCTGAGATTTAGGTCCTCTGCTGAGGCACCATGTCACACTGAAGAGTAATGAAGGAGGCTGTTCACCTCATGGTGGCCAGGAAGCAAAGACAGAAAAATGAGGTTCCAAATATTCCCTTATAGGGCATGCTCACCAAGGTCCTAACTTCCTTTCAGTAGGCCTCCCCTCCTAAATGTTCCACTGCTTCTCAGTAGCACTACAAGGTGGGGACCATGCCTTTAGTACAGGAGCCTTTGGGAAGCACTCAAAATCCAAAATAAGGCAAATGGGAAGAATTTTGAAGATTAAGTGTTTTCCAGGCAAGTGGTGGGGGGAAAAACTATCATATAGAGGTGACAGCATAGACAGAAGTCTTAAGATGTGGCAAGGCACATCAATCACACTGGGAGCTGAAGGGGTTTGACCTTACTTGCAGGAATTTAGACATGGGATGGAGAAGAATCAAGAGATGATTGTCTGCCAACACTGGCAATGCATTCCTGACCTACAACCCCATCAGTGGTGACAGAAAACAGTTTATCAGGATTTGGACCCTTAAGAGTGAGTTATGTGAACAACTGAAATAACAGACTTGAAAGCGTATTATTATTTTCTTTTGCAGTGCTGAGATCTCCCATACTCTTAAACTCTTGCTCTATTTGTGAGCTATACATTTTCAGTACTAGTAAGCTACTAGTAATACTAATAAATACTAATAAGAAACTATTTCTCAAACTTATGGCTCTGAATATGACCAATATTTTTATGTAGTAGGATCACCCTAATTATTGTACCAAATGACAACATTGTAATGGGAGCACCTATTACATAATGCATAATTCTCAGCCTTCCCTCCAATCTTCCACCTAACAATCAGGACCCAACAGCTGGTACCTTCTGCTTTAAAATACACAATGAATATTAGATATGAGTTTACTTTTACAACCAGTGCTTAAAGTAGCAGAATACTAAAAGGGAATTTTACAGCTGGGATAGGAAATTTATCCTCCATTATCTGAAGAATAAAGAAATACCCAAGTCCCCAAAACTTCAATGGCAAGAATGGGGACTGGAACAGGTGTCTTGGAAAAGGAGTTTTCTGCTCTCATCCTTGGAGGGTATCACTCAAGAGGTACACTTACTGATGAGGCACTAGAAAAACCCACAATCTGGAACACTTGTAACTCAAAGGAGATTCATTTGGAAAAGGCAGAGGGAAGCCTTTTTTCTACATAACCAGCAGGTTAATCTGATCAGTGCCAGAGACCTTGAGCTTCTTCAACCTGAATCATTCTAGTTTGGGTTACAATTTTTATCTCTTAGGTAAACAGTGATGTTCCACACCATGGAACTCCATTTTCACATCTTATTATTGTATAAATGTACTACATTTTCACATCTTATTATTGCATAAATGTACTACATTTTCATGTCTTATTATTGTATAAAGTTTTACAGCCAACTTTGAAATGATTTTGAATCCATTATTTCAGGTGCAGTACAAGCCAACCAAATTCTTTCCCTTGCATACCTGAAAGGACAATTTCTGTTCTGCCATCTGTCTTAGTTATTATAGCCTGTAGCTACTGTTTGTTTTAGAGGAGCACTCAGCTATCCTCTGTGCAGATCTAGCATCCTTACATTCCATTTCTTGTGATAAGCTTTTCTCACCACGAATGCTATGCAGCCCTTGTTCCAAATCTGCATGACCATCTTCTGACAAAGCGATTGGCAAAATATTTGCTGTGCCAACAGAGACTGGGAAAAGTTCCTGGCCTCAGCATTACCCCCAAACAACCCTGAGCCTTGTAGAAATCCATGTGTGATGTTTCAGAGAAAGAGGATCATTGGGAGAACAGGTGAAAAGAACATTACCAAAATAGGACACCCAGCCCATTAACGACCAAGTTTGCCCTGGGTTCCACAATTCTTTCTAGTCTATGGTACTTGTGTGCTGTTGTCCAAGTAGTTAAAATACTTCCTGTTCTACTTTCCATTTGCCATTGAAATAAACTTGAACTTCATCTAACAAAGAACCTACCAAATTTTATATAATTATAATAAAATCCTCCAGTAATAGCAGACTTCAAAAAACCAGTTTCCCTTACCTCCTCTATTAAGCAAGCACTTTGTGTGTTGATTTCTACTCTGGTTGACACTTCTCAACTAGGAAAGAAATAATAATATTTTCTTTGTTTTCATAAAAGATCCCTGTGGTCATGAGATATTAGTGTCTGCTCATGTATCTCCTTCATGGTTTATCTTTTATTTGAATTTCCTTTGTTTTTTAAATCATTTATTTCAAGTCAACAAAGTATATTTCTGTGAGGCTCAGGAAAACAACTATTTTATATTTCTCCAAGAAAGACTTGGCAGGACCACAGTTGCTGAATTCCTATAATATTTCAAAAGAAAAAAAATAGCTTAGGTGTTAACGCTCAGCCAGAGCATGCCAAGGGTGTATGCAAAATTGAGTCTGTGCTCTTGAAATGCAAGTCAGAATGGGATGAACACCAAAGTGTAAACACAAAAGGGACATTCAGGTGATCTGTAATATGAGTCACTGCTCAGCCACAAACTTTGCAAGGCGAGTCACAGAGGCAAAAACTACCCTGTGGATATAATTATCATAGTTACAAGTGTATTCAGCAAACACACTACTAGATTTTCATCTCTTCTTTCCTCATGGCATTTGGGATTACAGTATTGACATTTTAAATGGTTTCCAAATTTGCAAAATTTCTTTCGTAAGGGGTTGAAAGAAAACAAAATTCTCTAATAAATTAAAAATTTAATTCAGTAACATTTTTCATTTACTTAATATAAATTATGTCAAGGTTTAAATGCTTTAGAATCTATAAGCATTATGGGAGTCTAATTAATTGTCTGTAAAGCATATAAATCCCAGAAAGACATTTTGTCAAGTCATCTTATCCTACTGATGATCTTATTATGGACCAATTTGCCTGGTTTTCGATTTCACTGAGTTGGGATTAAATCAGTGTACCCTTTCCACTGCATAATTTAGGACTGCTTTAAAACGATGTAATTACAAACCTCAATGAGTAGATTGTGAATTGCATTCACTGTCATAAGTGCCATTAGTATGGTTTTCTTTCAGAACAGTAGGGTAAAGATGTCATGTTAGTAAGTCCCACTACTGTGTGCCTACCATGGGATAGCCACAGCAATTGGAGACTTGGATGGAACCCAGAAGTAGGCATGGAAGCTGGGGAAATACCAGTATTTTGTGGAGTTAGAGAAATTTTGGGGAAACAATTTCTTTAAAACAATAAAATACCAGATAAAAGAGCCTAAGACTTTTAAATTACTCAATTGTAAATTTAACTTTATAAATGGGCACAGCCATACTCTATTGTTCTTCCGGGGAGAGAAAGAACATTTTGTGTAGTGACTTACTCTAATTTTGTTTGCTTTCTACCAAGTGAAATTAGAATACCTTATGAAATGTCCCAAAACCTTACTTGACATCTGTTGCATTGATTCCCAGCCCCAAATCTCTTCCTTTACAGTGAACTTCTTGTCCATTTTAAGTTCCCAACTCCCTCTTCTTCACATGAATCGGGGGGGGGGCACTTATAATTAATATAAAGTCTTTCTCATCCATGAATCCCACTTGGATGAGACTTTGGTATCATATCTCACAGTTCTAAATGCACAACAAAAAAAAGTCTTTTCATGCTTAAAACAAAAAGCAACTAAAGAGAAAAAAACCCTTCCACATACTTTCTCTTTTAATATAAGATATTCATAATTCTGAGGCAAAGAATTTTCTTTTGAATAAGGCCTTTGGTATGTGGAAACTTGAGTATCAAGTAATTGACTATAATACTCTGCTAGTAACTCAAACTTGACCCATAAATTTAAATGTTTTAGCCATCTTCCTCAAACTTTTCTAAATATATTTAAATAACTGAAATATTTTATTTTATAAATTACTAGCTTTATAGATACAAAACCAAACTTCCCTATATACAAATTGAACTTCAATTAAGTTCTTGCTTATCTTTATGAAAAAGATACACACTTTGATCAATGTTATGTCCTTGCTGTGTATTTCTGAATTTGATAAATGAACTGAGTTGTAGTGGGAAAAGGTCTCACTGTCTCTTACTCCCTACAATAACTCTCTTGTAATTTGCTCAAAGAAAGTGATATTCATTTATTCTTTTTCTTAACAATCATAATAAAAGCGAACAGGTGGATTGTTGTTAAGAATCTACAGGTCGGTAGATCTAAAGGCTTTGAAACTAGATAAATGCAAACTTCAGAGTAAAGAAATAAACCTTTGAAGCAAAAGGGAAGAGAAAAGACAGCTTTGTACAAACTGAATAAGCACAGTCTGTTTATATCTACAGTACATTGTTAGAAAGATTAACAGTGTATACTGAAAATGTATTTTAGCCCTATGACTGTCTATGAGACAGCACTGATGTAAATGGAAACTTAAGAATAATGAATTGATATCTCCCTCCCACAAACTGGATCTGTAAACTGGAACTTAGCCAACTGGTCTCAGTCCAGGTGTTACTGGTTTCTAGAAATGTTCCTGTTCCTGCAGTTTTCCAATAGTGGCTGTTATGCTGTATGACAAATGATTAACTCTGTCACCCAGGACTTTGCATGCTTGCTTTGAAGTATGATGTATTTTCAGCTCTGGAATGGAAAAAATACAACAGTCACCTCAAGTCTTATAGTGCAACAATTTTAATAAGTCCACGTTAAAATGTATGATACAGGTTTGTAGTTTCAAATTGGAAGCAATCCTGCCTTATTTCAAACCCTTCTACTCAAGAATGTTTTTCCCTCCATCCCTTTGAAGTCTATGGAAGTACCCCTAAAGTGCATTGCCGAGGCATTAAAAACAGTACTTGATTTGCCCTTCTGAATCCTAGAAAAGAGTACTTTCCTCCTTTGAGGGGCTGCACAATTCAAGTTAAGCTACTAACTTAGAGAAAGACTTGTCCACTGATGTCACACCCCCCAAGGGACATGAACAAGGGGGACACCCCAGAATAGTTTGCTGAAAAAGAAAATCTAGCCAAGTTCCTCCGCAGTAGGTATCCATCCACTCTTATCACAAATAAATATTTAGGGCCGGGGACTTGGCTCAGCACTCTAAGCGCCTGCCTGGCAAGTGCGAGGTCATGAGTTCGATCTCTGGTTCAAAACAAAATTTTTAAATGTTATCTTTGAGTCGTGAAATTCAATTGATACTTCACTCTCAAGAAAAAATAAAATATTGGCTTTATGTGAATGTTGTTGGAGTGAGACACCAAGTACTGGGGTAGGTCAGAGTTCTCCGCATGGAAGTGGGGGTCAGGGTAAGTGGTGGGAGAGGAGTCCTGGAGGCTACTACTTATCCTCATAGGAGCCACCAGGGAAATTCGCCTCCTCCTGGGACCTGTCTCCCTCCGGCAGCAGCGTGGCGCGCACTTTCCTCTTCTCCTTAAAGCGGCCAGAACGCGAGATCTTCAGATTGCGGCGGCTGTTGCCTCCTTTCTCTCCGCCCTTGTCTGATTTGGGAGACCCGCTGGCATCCCCGAGGACTTTGGGAAGCTGGTTCTCTTGGGAGCTGCTGGTCCAGTCTGCGCTAGGAGGCGCGGGCTCCCCGGAGACCGGCTGGACCGGAAGCTGAGGTCCTACCGGGGCGTCCTTGCTTTTCTTTTTGCTGTTAGTTAGCGATTTCCACCAGGAGCCCGAGTTGCCAATGCCACCGCTATCGGCCATGGCCAGGGGTGGGCCCGGGCGGCCGGCGTGAGTATGGACCTTGCCGAGCTCTTTTTTCCGTGGCCTTCCGGAGCTTCTCCCAAGAGGGGTGCGGGGTGTGAGCCGAGGCGGCTCCTCGTACTGGAGGAAAAAAAAAAACCCAAAACTTGGTTACTAGGTTGTGGAAGTCACATGCCCAAATCTCATTCCCTCCCTCGCTCTTGGCCTGGCACCAGATCGCCCAGGTTGCAGCGCCCCAAGATTGCAGCAGCACAACCCGGAGGAGGCGCCGCCATGCCCGAGAGGTGCAATTGCTCTAGCGGCCACCAGGGCGCCACCACATGAGCTCAAATCTAAGCCTCAAACTCCCCAGCCTGAGCTTTAGCCTAAGCCACCAGGGAGAAGGGCCTGCCAGCGCGAAGGGTGCCGGGGGAGGGAGGGGGATGTCCGGTCATCCGGACCAACCCGGCTCCAGAGAGGAAACGGCCTGTTTGGTCCACACTGTGGGACTCCACAGACGCCCATAGGTGACCCACCTGTCCTAGATCAGTTCCCTTCTGAGGAGCCCCTGACAGTAGGGCATTGAGAACCAAGTGTGTCCCGGCTGCAGGTGAATTAGGCATGTTAAACAGTAAATAGATACAACTGTCCTGCAGAGTTTTTTCCCCCTGTACTCGCCCACCTCAGGGTCTTTTTTGATAAGATTCTTGGGAAAATTTATATTCCAGTAAGAATAAAAGACAAGCTCACGCTGTTTGCATTGCTTCTTTTAAATTCTCCTTTTAGCCACTTCTGCTTGTGACTTTCAGAGAAGCATGTCTGCACCTAACTTCCCTCCAAAATCTCCATCCCACTCTTCTTCTTATGCCTCAGAGACCAATCTTGTGGTTTTTTAGGACGGTTGCTCCTTCCCCCATCCGCCCCCGCCCGGAGCCCAAGCAACACATTTTCCTGCTCTCTTTCCATAGCTCAGGATTTAATCTGTTTATACCACGCAATTCAGTTCCTGAGAATTTCACATATTTAAGACTTCTGTTCTTTTCCTTGCGCAATTCCATTCTCCAAACAGGAGAGCGCAATAAGAATCTTCAAAACTATTTGCCTCTCCCAGCTTTCAGTACCTCTTCGCAGAGCAAAAAGGCTGCTTATTAGCACTTAGGTGCTAATACAGAAGGGGAGACTCCCCTGGCCACTTTCTGTGCATTCTTTACTGCACTTAACTACCGCCAGCGCGTAGGATTCGCTCGAGCCGCTGCTCTTTTCCCGGTTTCCGCTTGGCTCCTTCCCACCCACGCGCGCGCGCAGAACTCGGAGGACTCGCAAGTGCGCAAAAGACTGAAAGTTCAGCTGTGTTTGTTGTGGGAAGTTCCCCCGGAACTCCACGGAGAGGAAGTCCCAGAACCTAGCCGAGGCGGCCTCGGTTGCGCCCTGAAACCGTGGTCCCAGCTTCTCCCCGAGATGCCCTAAGGGACACTGGGGCTCGGATTTGAAAATAATAAAAGAAAAAGCTGCCAGAGTTCTTTCTGTACAAAAGGCACCCACACCCTCAGGCACAAGGGGCCAGGGAGGTTTGTAAGCATTCTACTCTGTCCTACTTTGAAAATTAGAAAGGTACCCTCAAGATATTAACTAATGGTGGTGGTGGGTTATCTGGATGTCGTTTTCGGTCCTTTACCCTGTTCTTTCTTCTTTATGGCTTTCAACTTGGGGTGCACAGAGAACCTTCTTGCGAATTGCGTAAGGAGAAGTTTGCAAATTACGCAAAATTAGGCAGAGCGCAGTTCTGGAGCGCCAACAGCTTAGGGGCTTGTCCTGTCGCGCTAGAAGGCGGGGGATTGGGAGGCGCAGGGCATCAGCCCAGGGTGATACCGCATTGGAAGGCTGTGTCTCGCCAGGAGCAGAACCACCCCGGATCGCTCACCTGCTTGGGCTTCCCGGGACGCTGAGGCCCCCGCACTATACTTGCGGCCCAGAGAACCACGGGGGCTGCGCTCTGGGCACCTGAAACCGGGGTGCTGTCCCTCAGCGCGGTCTTGAAGAGGTCAGGCTGCTGGAAAGTGTACCAGTCGGAATGTCCGCAGTGCAGCTCCAGCGAGTGCTACTCTCCCGTGGCACCTCCAACTTCTTCGAGCTAAGGAGACAGCCCGGGGCCCGCCGCGCGGGGGGCTCGTCCGAGGGACTGTCAGATTCGTTGTCCCCGCAGAAAGCCCAGGCTGCCTTTCCAGGTTAGCAGCCTTACATTCTCGAGAGCGTCCCTCTGCCGTGCCAGCACCTCTCGGGAGCTGCGGAGAGGTGGGACCATGGCTACTCGCTGGGACGCACTGAACCTTCCTACGCGTCGGTAGGAGCGAGCGAAGACATCTGCCCACCTGCTGGCCCAGCGCCAAGCGATTGGAGCAACCAGAACCTCGCCGCGGAGGGGTGCGTGTGATGTGTGTGTGGAGGGGGAGGTGACCCCGTAGGTGGCCACCCTCTGCTACAGGTGCAGGTGGGCACGTCGGGTTCCCGCCCTCCGGTTACGAGATTGGATCAGGTCGCAGGCGTGGCGCCAGCTTCGAGGCTTCTGATTGGAGGAAAGCAGTGCCGCGCGGCTTGCGGGACCGAGTCCTTGGGGAGAAACCGTGAAGACTCCGGATCCGGAGACCGAAACTGTAGGGGCGTCCCTGAGCAAAGATCGCCGCTGCAGCCCTCCCTCAGCCAGCGCCCCGAATTCTTTTCCTCCAGTCTCATGTCCCGGGAATCTTGTGTTTTGTAACTCACAGAAGCTCATCCTTGAGCAAATGTTGGAGAGTTTCAGGCGCACTTGGTTAAAAGGCTTTAACAAGTTTAAACAGCTCGCAATGCAGCCAGGCACTGTTTCAGTCGCCTTCTGTGGATGACCTCGCTTAGGCCTCACACCCACCCTCGCAAGTGGGTACTATTTTTGTCCTCACTTGACAGGCGACTAAACCCCAGCAAGTGAAAGTTAAACGGTTGCTCAGGGTGGCGGCGGGCAGAGGAGAGTCGGGATCCACGAAGTCTGACTTTGGTAACCACCACGTTAAACCACAGCCTGTCTGGGGCTCTAAAAATGACTGAGGATCCTTTTTCCAGATCTGGAAAACCACGGACACCCCCACCCTACCCACACACACTAGGAAAGCAAAAATATAGCCCTAGGCCAGCACAAGAAGTGAGCCAGTCCCATAGTATCATTCTAAGGCTGCTTTTGCTCCTGGCCTCATATCAGCGGATTTTGTTAGCCTGACAGAAAGCCATGGGCACAGGACACGCTTGGCTAAGGAAGACGGAGATGCAGCCTGTTTCGTCTTGCTGCATGCTGTTTTTCAAAAAACGGTTAAGATGCTCTAGAGCTCATCCGCACACACACCTAAGGCTGGACTGAAGCCCCAACTGCAATGCAAAAGCAGTGAAAAGTCTGATGAGGACCTGTGCGTCTGTAACTCCGTCTACCTCTGAGGCTAAGACGGGAGAACTGCAAGTTCCAGGTCAGCCTGGGCAATGTAGGAAGATCCTTTCTCAAAATAAAATTTTAAAAGGGGAGTGGGGAGGGGCTGCTCAGTGATAGAGCACATGAGAGTGTTTGCAGGCTCTGGGTTCTAACCCTAGCACCATGAAAAACAATACAAACACCAAACAAAAGCTGTAGTAGAGTTCGTAGAAAGAAAATTTTATAAATTTTAGAGTATTTCAGTGAAATACTCTGTGAAAGAAGAGAAAAAATATTTCCTTGTGTTTTGAATGACATGCAAAGTAGAGTATATTTGAAATTGATGCATTTCCATGTATATTCTGGGATGTTTTAAAGTGTAAGTAAATGTTTAATTCCAGCGCTGGGGTTGAACAAAGACAGGCCACTACCTGATGCTGATAGGAAAATTCAGCATAATGTCACATCACTTCCAGATGAAGAAACTGAATCATAGGGAATCAAGTCCTCATCTGAGATGTAATCACTGCCAGGAAGTTAGGGAGCTGGGTGGCCATAAGAGTAAAAGAATGAAGAAATTTAGGAAAAGAAAATCAGTACTGCCAAGTGGTTCCTTGTCTAGTATAGTTTTAACAAAGGAGTAAACATTTTCTTGCTGATACAAACCTGATTGTCTTATTCCCCTCACCCCCCATTTCAATCAGGCCCTTAGAATGTTCCTGTTGGGCATGGATGAGTTTTCAGAAGGCCCTGCGTGTGCAGGAGTCCCGGCGTGTGCAGGAACTTCTCAAGGTGTATTGCTCAGGCTAGTGGAACGTACTTGCTGTAGGGGATGAGGCCACAAAGCTGGTGTAACCAGATCCTTCAGGCAAACCCATTGAAGTGGGGCCTCGGGTGAAATTTACATTTAAATTGCACTGTAGCTGATGGAGAGGTAGGTGGAAGAGAACACAGTGGCACCTGCAGGCAGACCTAAGCTGTTGGAATAGTCCAGATGAGACATTCTGATGGCAGCACTGGAGACAGTCAAAAGAGTATGGTTTCATTTAATTCACACAAAGAGGAGAATGAGTTTGACTAAAGGCTTAAAAAAAAAAGAAATACTTTCACAACTTTTCTTGTAAGTAGGACTGGTTATGTAAGTGGGGTTTGGCCCATAGAACTATGAGGAAGACTTTGGAAAATGCTTCTTCCCTAAATAAAAGGCAGAGACTAATAAAAGGCAGAGGGCATCATTTTTCTGTACCCTTGAATCTTACATTTAAGTCCAGCAGAAGGACGTGATGTCCAGTGTTGCAGCAGCCATTATACATACACAACAGTGAACTTACAAGCATAAGAATAAAAGATAACAGATCAAGGACAATGGCAGGGAACTATGGGAAGTATCTTGGTTGTTGGTGGCACCTGGCCCACCTACTATCAGGCTTCTGGTTCAGTGAGATAATACATATCTCCATGATTCAACTCCAAATTTAAACACTGTGTTCACTTACTTGTAGCCAAACACATTCTTCCTTGATATAAGCTATTAGAGTTAATAGAAAACACCTCCTGTTTAAAAGAAGAAAGTTATATTGTCATATTTTGGGGACCAATTTGAAAATGTCTTCAGAAAAGATGGAGGACTCAGTGAAATGCTTAGGAGATGGAGTTTTTAATGGCAAGGAAAGCATTCTATGCAGTAAGGTATTTCCTCAGAAAAGGCTTGGAGTTAAGGGAGAAGAAGGTAGGAGATTGTGTGTCCTACAGGGGCAGCAAACAGGGTGAGTCCAAAAAGTGAGGGCCATCACCTTACCTGGACTTTCAAAGACACTGGTATAGGGAAGACAAACTCCAACCAACTGAATGTCCGGTACCAGTTTGTGTTCTCTGAAATAAAAGAATGAATTTTAGGAACAACGGAGGCTAAGGCTAAAGCATATTTATTGAGAGAAAGAAAGCTTCTGTTTGAGAGAGAGACAGATGGGGTCCCCAGTGGGTCACCAAAGGCTCTGTCTTTTTTTTTTTTTTTAAGGGAATTTTATAGAGTAAAACCACAAAGTGAGGCAGGTCCGAAATGGGAAAACATGGGAACTTGCAAGGCAGGGGGGCATCAGGTGGGACGGAACGATGGTCAGCCAATAAGATTAATTGCTCAGGTAAAATTGATTTAATCGGGGACAAATGGGGAAGTGAGTCATGTAGCAAGTGGGCGTGCTTAAAGAGGAGGGACTCATCCTGTAGGTGATTGGGTTCCTGACTCCTGGCTTCCTCAGAATGATAGAGACCTGTTTAGAATAGCAAGCCTTAGGATGTGGGTGTATTTGTTTGATCTTTTGTCTTGATGTCTGGCCCACAGTGGAAGGTGTCTGTCTCCCCCAAGGTTGCAAGATATCTGGTCTTCTGTGCTGGTTCCTTTGAGGGCCTGGCCCTGTCTGACTGCCTGTATTTCTAATTAACTCAGCTGCCTCTAACAAGAGAATTTTAAAACAAACTAGAAAAACATACTTACTACAATACTTTTTGCATCTAGATCTGTTCTAATCTATGAAAATTTTCAAAACCTTCTCATGCCAAAATCCTTACACAAATGCACTCACACACCATAGATAAACAGGCTTGGTGTTCTGTTCTATTGACCCAAGAGTCATGTTGCTGACTTTATAAGGTCAACATACAGTTTTGCATTGTTCTGCAGTAGAAATGCATTTAGACTTATGTATGGTATCCAATTAATAGCAGATGACTAAGTGTTAGAATGCTTAGCTTGGACATCACTTAAATTGCAGCTTTCTCACATGAACCTTAAAATGTACTAAAGGATTATCCTCAAAAGCAACAGACAGTGAATTAGACCAATACTGGCTACTAAGAATTAGAATTTTAGAGGTTTAAACCTGGCATTGCCATCCTGGCAAGCATGGCATTACATGAGATGTTGGGAAATTAGTTCTTTTCCTCTTAAATGTCCATGGGGGGATCTTGGCAGACAAAAGAGACAGTGGAAACATTTAAGAAACATGGCTACAGAAAACTTTCAAAAATTGCTCATACTCTTTCCATGCAGAGATAACCTGGTTATGCTGTGGGATGAGTTCTTTTTTGCCCCGTTTCCACATATTTACACTTTACATTCTTCCCTTCCTCTCTTCTGCTTACCTCCCCCCTCTCTCTTCCTCAATTTTTTCTTTTAGGGACATTTAAATCCTTTGAATATTCTATGTGGCTCTTTCTGCTTTTCCTTTGTAGTCATCTGCATAGTGGTAGTTTACAATTCCCTTTCCCCTTGTTGTATATTCCTATTAGTATGGTTAGATTTAGTTTTGTGTATCTTGAAAGTGTGGTCATGGCAATCAGGCATGAACACGGAATCCACTTTTAATAGTATCTCATCCTATGCTTTGCCAGGATAACTGAATATATATCTAGAAGTTAAAAAATTAGAGTCACAAAATACTTCTCCTGGTGTCAGTATTGCACAACTCCCCTGAGCTCTTGACCGAAGCAGAGCGGACTCGTTCAGTGCCATCTCTCTCTGCAGTTCAGCCCATCCCTGCTCCCTTCCAGCCTCCACACTCCTCCTGCCTTGGTCTCATTTTCATGAACCATGCGTTTGAAAGTCATCAGCCCCTCTCTTCACCTACTTTAACACATGCTGATCCAGTTTCTTCCTGAGGCGATGAGGACCTTACTACCTTCTGGTCATGTAGTCCACAGGAGGGCGGCATGCATCTGCCTATGCCTTTTTTCTAGTAACAGCCCACCCTGGCCTCTTTTCTCCAAGACCCATTTTCCTTGTTCTCCCAAATCTCAGAGGTGTTGTTGTCTTCACCTGCGGTGAGTAACACACTTTCTCACTCAGACACAGTCCACTCTGGGGTCTGCTCACTTCCGCTCACATGGCTTCTCTGAGGTCCTGGTTTACTGGACATCAACCAGACATCTTTTTGGCCTATCTGCAAAGCAAGCACTGTTGACAAGTCCTTAAAACATGCATAATTGTTCCAAATTTTCATCATTCTTATTGGAAGCTCCATTCTTGTCTACTTCACCAGCTTATCTTTTTTCCCATTGACATTATCAGTACAGGCTGGTGTCTTTTGGGGTATTACTGTGAGATAACTATTGTGATAGGTACTTTCGCTGTATTATCTCATTCTATGTATCCTCA